TGAATTGCTTACGAGACCGTTTATAAACCGCATAATAATTATAATCGTCAATATATTTAATTGGTCAATTGCTTTTCTTGTAAATTGTAATATTTATAAATCATTAGAGTGCTGACATTTACAGATGTCCTCCTATATAATAACTAAGTTTTCTTTACATAAATATGTGATTATAACTATAACGTGTTTGTATTTTTTAATAAGGTTATTAATAAACCGTTTCAAGTTTTTTTGTGATTATTTGGAGTTGAGATTATGTAGGAGGTGACTATAGAGGAGTACGACTGTATTACGTAATTTTTTAGGGGGTTGAACATGTATTATAAATATATCACGTTGCACAAGATACATATATAGTATAATTAAATACTTTTTGAATTGGCCAGTCATATTGGGTCCTATCGCATGAGCCTCATAGTAAAATGGATATTACGTAAAATATGCCACAGCCCTTACGTATATCACTTATAATTTTTAATAATCACTACATTCCCATAAATTTTCGTCTATATCTATACGTATGCGTTAATTCTGAGGCACGATATTTGTATGCTACATCGTTACGTCAGTATATGATTTATTTTTAATTTAACACATGTTACGTATTTTAAAGTTTATACTGATTAGAATGCGACGTACGACGTACGTACGTACGTCAATATGACTACACTAACTTATTGATTGCGTTGAGAAATGTATAAATAAATTTTTACCTTTAATTATCTAATTTGCTTATTTTTTTTATCTTAAACAATATGAGTAACCGAAAAAATAAAAGACGTATGATTCGTCAAAATATAAACATCGTTAACATTTTGCGGATCTCTACAAGTACGCATGAAATCCAAATTTTAAGTATTGAGGTTCGTTATACCTTTACAGTAGTTAAAATTTGAAATATTGAAGAACTAAAGATTAGAGCTTAAAATTCGTGGCAACAAAATTTGTCCTATAAAGATTTTTAAGTATAGCTTGTCAAACTCATCAGGATACGGAATATGGTGGCAAAATTTGACAAACACGGCTAAAAATAATCCAAGAAACTCATAGTAACTGCAGTGCAACAGAGCTGTTGTACCCCGAAATGGAATCGGGCAGTCCCGGATGAGAGTTTTAAAATCTGTGCTCGGTTTGTGGTCACATGACGACGATCACAATTTTACTAAAAAAATAAAAAATTCCAAACATTCAAATTGTTATCTCCCGAACAAATTTGACAAAATATTTTTATTTGAATTGATTAATATAACCCAAATAAAAATGTTCATTGGATTTTATCAGGTGGGTATCGAAATATCTTTGCACAATTTCAATTTTGATAGGTAGTTTGATTTTTTTAAAACTTCAAGCGAAGATATCTTGACAATCAGATGACCGAATTTGATGAAATTATTTTTATTTGAATTCTATGGATCATAGAATTAAAATAGCAAGGTTTTATTGAATTTTGTTAGACAATTATTGAAATATTTTCTCTCAAATTTTGAGAAAAAATTTCAATAGTTCTTATTTTGATAGGCGTTTTGATTTTTTTAAAACTTTAAGTGAATATATTTCGACAACCAGATTATCAAATTCGATGAAAACTTTTTTATTTGAATTCTATGAATCCATAGAGTTCAGATAATAAAGTTTTACCGAATTTTATTAAGTGATTGTGGGGATATCTTCGCTCAAATTTAAAGAAAAATCAAAACGCCTATCAAAATAATTAACCATAGCTGCCGCAACAATTTGGACCGGCAGATTCTCGATTTTGATTGGCTAAAGATCGACGATCAAAAAATTAGGCCGGAATTACTCATAATTTTACTAATGAAATTATAGCCTCCCATTAAGTGAAAAATTGTTCTTGGGTCAATTTTACTATAATGCGGGCTTATTTTTTAAGAATTTCTATTTTTGTAATGAAAAAATTAAAAAGTTAATTCCGGCCGGAATTTAGTAAACAATTTTGTAATGTGGGCCAAATTTGTTGTGGTTAATGGTTCAATAGATAATTCGAAGCTGCGTCTGCCGAAGGTTCCCAAACTCCGCAGTTCCCAGTTTCACATGCCCACTAGCCAGATCATCCCTTTCATCCCCGATCCATGGTTATGCCGACAGACTGCATTTGTATGAATCTTGTTCTTTCTTTGTTTTAACTAGATCCTTATAGATCATTCAATTGTGGCCCTAGCCGAGCCTTGCCCCAGTTGGATTCAAACCCGCGACCTTGCGACTATGACCTGGGAGTGCTAACCACTGCCACGGGTCTTAATGATTTTTTTAATTTTGAGTCCTCTATTGTCTTCTTTGCACTTAAAAAAGTTCACAAAAAATTATGGCTCTTAAAGATTTAAACACATTCCTCGACCTTCGTACGAACTCAGTTCAAATTAACAGTTAAGCCATCATTATCAGAGTGCCACGCAAGTTTATACATCCTTGCTTTAAAAAAAACATCAGGTTATTCGCGCATCAATCTCAATACATTTTACAGTATATTTTTGAAGCTAAGCTCAATTTCTTAAAGATACTAATCGATCCTTTGTCAGATAGCTATTTTATGATGATATGAAGAAATTTATAATTGAAGCGCCGAATATGCATTATAACAGAAGAGATCATGAAAATGCTATATGAATTGTGTCTTATAACTCAAGGACGGCTGATCCATTTTAGATGATTTCTTAAACGAATATCGCAAAGTACAGGATTTATGCAAGCTCAAGATAAATGACCGAGAATAATTGCCTTTAGTACAATAACATAATGTCGATATTTTAAGAGCTGTCAATCTATTTTCAACAGTTTTAAATGAATTGAAAAAAAAAATTAAACGAGCTTAGAAGAAAAGAGAAAATTAAAATACGAAAATATATGAAAATTGATTTTTAAATCAGCTTTTGAGCACCAGGAACGTAATTTTACATATATTGGATGATTTTTCAAGCCTATAACCACGAACCCGAACTGAAACCAAACATAAATCAAAAAAGCTAATCTGAGTATGCCACACTACGTAACTGCAAAAAAAGTCTAGAGTAGGGACTTCAGTTTTATGCGATGCGAATTTTTCGTATTGCTGATTAGGGATGTTACGGCCCGTCCCGGTCCGGTCTTGGTCTCAAAGACCGGTCCTACCAGAGGACCGCGGACTGGACCAGTCCATAAATCGGTCTATTGGCTGGTTTTCGAAAATAAGCTATGTGGTTTTAATGATCATTATATATAAAAAGATCTTATAGCTATCATCATAAATCCTGGGACAATTGAAAAAATTTCCAATGCCTAGTGATGCAGTAGAATCATCCTAATGATTTGTCGTAACTAGTTGCAACATAGGTTTTTGTTAGTTACGGCTTGAGCCGTAACGTCATTGGAACGATTCTACTGTATCACTACAATGACTGAATCGACAATTTATCGATCAAAAATCTATAAGTACTGAATAGGCTAACATTAGGAACTTATAGATACGGTCATCAATTTTTTTTTTTTTTTAGTCAATAAGGTCATTCCATAGGCTTTGGACTGGTCCAGACCGGTCCTCAATTTAGGACCGAAGACCGGTCCGGCCCATGGTCCTTTGTAGGACCGTAACATCCCTATTGCTGATGCCCTAAAATCGCATAATGACTAAGGACTCCTGCGATTGGCCAATTCCTAATCATAGTCACGTGTTAGTTGTCCAATCGGGATGAAATCATAAATAATTAATCACACTATACGATAGAAATTCGAATTTAAATATATTTTTGGATGGATTTGGAATTCTGCGGATCAGGACCCACTTAAATGATTTTGGATCTCAAAAAAACAACTTACATGTAACAGAATTTATCACAAATAGCTTACTTGGATTTTACTTGGTCAAAGATCACATCTAGATCAATGTTTTATTACTTAGTAGACTGGGGCGGCAAAGCTGATTTTCATAATACAGTATAACCTCGATATAATGAAGCTCTGAAGCTGAAGGTTTGCTTCATTATATCTATATTTCAATATATCGGGGTCTCTTGATATAACGAATTTATATATAATTTTATAAAATATTTGGTTTACAAATAATATCTCTCGATATAATGAATATATATATATTTATAAAACATTCGGTTTATATAATGTGTCCCAATATAAGAATTTAATTGATAGTGTTATACAAAAGTTTCATACTATAAATACTTCGCTTTATTAAGGTGTTATATTAAGACAATTTTCTTATAAATAAATTGTAAATTGTTTCGTAATTCAATTTACAGTCAGACCTCTCTAAATGCACATCGTCGGGACCAGCTCTAGAGCGTATATTTAGGGAGGGCTGCAATTAGAAAACACTAATAAAATCACAATGTGACCATTATCATGTGATAAATGTAGCTTTAGTGGCCTAGAAATGATGAATTTGATTAGTCAATAATCACGTGAATGCATTTATGAAGGGAGTTTTTATAAGAATAAAGAACATGCATTTATCTATAAGTCCCACTATGGGCCTGGACTTATATCATACATTTAGGGAGGTGCTGCATTTAGAGAGGGTGCATTTAGGGTGGTCTGACTGTACCGAGGTTTTATAATTAAAATTCATTATATTGAGTTAGTTTTAAACTATAAAATTCTAGCTGAAAAAATATTCGTCATAATAGCACTTTCGGTTTATTGAGGTTCGTATATATCGAGGTTATACTGTATCGACTTAGTCGTAAGGATTGGAATTTGATTTGTTGGCTAAAAAATTTTAATAATGAGCTATTATGTTTAGTTGACTAATTAGTCGACTAAACATAGTAGTCGACTAAACCCTACTTAGTCGGTTGATAATTTAAGCCTTGAATATTAACACAATCTGGAATTAAAAGGAAATATTTGTAGTTAGCTAAAAGAATTTATAGTTACTAAAGTAATTTATCTGGTAAATTATTGGAAAAAATGCATAGATCATTTCGCATAATCCAAGGCATAATTCTAGTCAATCACATCGCATAATTTGCTATTTCATTTCGCATAATGCTATGGTCCCTAGTCTAGAGAGTATCCATTTATAACGGTAATACAAACTCCTAAAAAGAAGCTGGCCAATCAGAGAACACAAATTCTGGCTATCCCGGATCAGAACCCAAACACGTAAAAAAGAAAACGAAAATACTCAAAAACTAGTGTTAAATCAACCTTGATGCACTAATTAAAAATCTACATATAACGATAATAAGCACCACCTTAATGTCCTAACCTATCTTCCTGACAATCATCTGTTGTGTAATGAGCTAATACGTTTTACTTTATCATTATATTACGGAGTTCTATACCGGTACACAATTTATTTGCGCTCACACATAAACTAATCTAGTATTTTCTAAAAAATGGCAAAAAGATACAAACATAGAGAATGGCTTAAAGGTGCTATCAAAAATAATCAAGTTATCCAATATGATAATAAAGCATTTAATGATAGAAAACTTATCAGACACGGTTCATATAGAGAAGTTTTTAGTGCAACATCGCCTAAATTTAAAACCATTATAGCCTTAAAATCTATTATAATTAATCCTTCTTTTACAATGAATGAGAAGGAATAAAACTTTAATACTAAGAAGCTTTTACTATTTTGCAGCTCAAACAACATAACAATTTTGGTTCACATAATAATATTTTATAATTCTACAGAATAATTAAAAATGGTGATAAAAATAAAACTTATTCCTAATAAATGAATTTTATCGTATTGTTGATATTTTAATATATTCTTTAGAACCGAACGAGTTTATACTCATACTTGAATATGCGAACAATGGTACTCTTAAAAAGTATTTAAACGAGAACTTTTGCTTATTAAATTGGGATGATAAACTTTACTTGGCAAATCAATTAGCCAATGCCATAAATTTTTTACATTCGCATGATATAATACATAGGGATTTGGTAACTCAATAACTTATATTTTAATTTAATCCTATTTCTATACTAATTCATCATCTTTCTTTTTACATAGCATTCTGAAAATGTACTTATTCATAATAAAACTGTAAAGCTTGGTGATTTTGAAAATTCAAAATTAGTTGCAGACCCTTCAATTCAATTAACGAAGGCAATTGAGTCGATATGTTATTCTGATCCTGAATTCCTTAGCAATTATCCAAATTATAGTCAAACGAAGAAATCAGATATTTACAGTTTAGGTGTACTTTTATGGGAAATATCAAGCAGTAGGGTGCCATTTAATTTGGAACCTTTACTTTTCTTAATTCTATGGATTAAGAGAAAAACCAGTTTATGAAACACCAAAAGACTACGTAACTATTTATGAAGGTATATAGTAACTTATATTATCAATATATTGTAACAGTTTAGACAGTGAAAAATAACATGATTTCAAATTATTAGAATGCTGGAAATTGACACCAAATCAACAACCAACTATTGAAGAGATTATATCTAATCTTGCAAATATTAATGTAGATAAGGGAGCTTCCACTTATTAGGTATATAGCCCCCTCCAGAGTCAGTCATTTGACAATTACAAGTTCTAAAGTAATCATAATATAAACTCTATACGATTGGTTATTTTAGAGCTTACAATTGTCAAACGATTGATTACTTTAGAACTTGTAATTGTCAAATGACTGACTCTGGAGGGGGCTATATATACCTAATAAGTGGAAGCTCCTTAATATAATATCTGTTGACAGAATTGAAATTGATTGCAGAGATAAGTGTAAATCAGGTATGTCCGGCACAATCTATATACTAATTTTAACATCTATCATGTGTCACTTCATCCGATCTACTGCTAAACCTTAAGCTTCATTTCGTAAGAAACGCTTTTGTAATCCGAATGATATATATAGAGGTTATATTGGCCTTAACATAAAATTTTTACAAATTTGCCTTCTATTTTAGAATTAATAAGCTATATTTTACATATGCTCTAATATTAATTTACTTTTAGTCAAATTTTACATATATCCTTTTTTTGATTGATTTATTATTTGTTGTTCCGCTATTCGGCTGTCTAAATTTTAAATATAATATTGCATATAAGGCCATACAAACTTAATATAATCCGGCCAAGTCAAAATCTGCAAAGAATTTTGACTATATTTACTATTCGGGTGAGTTTTTTAAAGAAAAAATTTATATATTTTAAGGGTTTTAAAATATAGTGCACCTGCACTACAGTGCACCACTAGCTATATCTCAAAATTTTACTAGCATAACCCTTGTTGTGCGACTAACAAAAAATGATCCTCTCTCAATTTTACCTAACTCTAACCCCAAACCTTACAAATATAACATTTTTGCAAAAAGTGTCTATTTAGCCAAAATTTCAATATAACCTCTATATATATTATTCAGGATTCTGTGTTGCAAACTTATTTACTTCACTAGTTATGACTTTTTATATGGTGTAACTAAGTGATGTCATAAGTCTGCATCTGTAGTCATTAAGTGAACTATTTTTATAAAGACCAAACCTGAATAACAACCAAATCTAACATCTGAATAACGACTCTAACATTCAAATCCAAACCTTTGTGAAAAACAAAAGACAAACTTAATAAAAGACAAAACTATAAAAAGGCTACTATAGGATTTTCAGGGCATAGTTTGTTAGATGAAGCTATTTTTATAAGATAGCAAAAGACCTACTGTAGATAAAATAATTTTAGTATAGTTTTTTAGACAAAGCAATTTTTATAAGATAGCAAAAGACCTACTGTAGATAAAATAATTTTAGGGTTGGCAATTTGAAGATTGCAACTGTTTGCTTCTATTAAAACTAACACCTCTTCTTTTTGCACAAAACCTATAATGAAAATGACAAAACACTTATGAAAGACAAAAACTCTTGTAAAAGATGAAAATTCTTATAAAAGATGAAGATCCCAGGGAAAGACAACTTCAATAAAGACAAAGGCAACATTATAGTATAAGAAAGACAAAAAGCTGTTTGTAATTAATAGGCAAAACCAATAAACTAAAGTGAAATCTTAAATTTCATGACTGTTAGATATGGTGGCCAATAGACATTGAAATATGATTCAATGAAAAATACATATATAAAGGCAATGATGCTTTTAATTATATTTATATATTATAATTAGAGTGGGTAGTGTGCATATAATTTTTATAATGCATATTTTTTTAGATAATTTGGTGCATGGTGCACCTAGCAGTACACCATGATAAGATTGTTGGAGTTTATTCTTTCTAAATTATTTACTTAATTTTAATTAACTTTTTTTCGATTTTAATATAAATTTAATATATAATACAGTCAGACCTCCCTAAATGCACGTCGTCGGGACCAGCTCTGGAGCGTGCATTTAGAGAGGGTTGCAATTGGA